ATGGCAAAAGAGCACATAAAAGATATTCAATATTATTATTAATTAGGGAAATGCAAATTCAATCCACACTGAGTAAACCACATCCTCATCAAAGCAGCTGAAGTAAACAATGGTGACAACGTCAAATGCTGGTGAGTAGAGAGAGTTGATCACTCATACATTTCTGGTGGGAGTGTAAAATGGTACAGCTACTCTGGAAAAAGAGTTTGGCAGTTTCTTGTAAAGATATGGCTCATTTAAATTGGAAATCTTATCAGGTATCTCCTTAACAATAGAGATATCTGTACAGACACAGCCATTTTAATAAACCAAATGTAAAGTGGGGAGTGAAAATAGAATAATAGCAAATTTTAGAAACATCTTATTTGGCAGGTTCCTGACTATCATCTCCATTCCCATGGTAATCCTGCATCCCTCTAGGGGCAAGTGTTCCATGGGAGTATGGTGACAAAATGGCTCATGACTCACAATAGATGCTGGTGCCAAACTATTTACAGCTATGAGGATCCACAACTTTAAAAAACAACATGATTCTCGATGGCCTGTTTGGCTTCTTTGGGACTATCCCTTTAGGATGGTTTAAACCAGATGACCTGGGTATGCAGGATGAGGACTATGGGACCAAATAGGTCCAGGGTGTGTTTCAGGCTTTTAATTCTAATTGAGAAACATGATATAAATTTCCCAAAGGGATTCGGAATCCTCCAGGGTAGATTCAAGCCTTCTAAGCTATCTCTGAGATTATTTAAAATCACTTAAAGTTGAGGAACCCCAGGGTTCAGGTATGGTCCCCCCTCAAAGAGTTTTAAAATTACTGCCAAACTCCTGGACTAAATTATTTTTAATTAAGGACTGGTCCTCAGTATAAATGCCTTGCAAAAGGGACTATTTCTGAAGTTTCTTCCCTCTAACATGAGAGTGTTTGGCATTCCTCAGATTCTGTGTGTTAGTCATCTGCAGTTAAATACACAAAACCTGTGAATAGAAAGACTTCAGTTAAAAAAAAAAAAAGGCTTCAGTTGTACCTTAGAAAGTTAGTGTATATTTATGGATGTGTATCCCTACACAAATAGATATGCAAAAATATAAACATAAGAAGAATTTTAAAATAAACAGGATGAAGATTCTAGTAATAGCTCTCATAATAAAGTAGTCCTTAATCCAAAAAAACATAGTTTACCGTAATAAACAGAAGTTGCTCCCTGTCAATACACATATGTAACATCAGGGATAAAATGTATAGGTAAAAAAAAGTTGCACTTATAAACACAAAGTAAAAATTCACCCCAGGAATAGGAAGGCACAGAGTTTAAGTTCTGTGGAAGCAGACATGGGTTCTGCTTGAAGGGAACTTCTAGTTTGGTAGAGGCTTGCACAATGGCAGATAAAAGAGAATTCATCGCCTTTGTTCAGAGATGAAAAGGAAACAAAAAGGCAGATCAAATCAAAGATGATCTGGCGACTACATTAATTCTATACTGAAGTCATCAACACACTCATTAAGACCACGGAGAATACAGACATGGGGGTGACGGGGGTCCTGCTGCTGCTAAGTCGCTTCAATCGTGTCCGACTCTGTGCAACCCCACAGACGGCAGCCCACCAGGGTCCCCCATCCCTGGGATTCTCCAGGCAAGAATACTGGAGTGGGTTGCCATGTCCTTCTCCAATGCATGAAAGTGAAAAGTGAAAGTGAAGTCGCTCAGTCGTGTCCAACTCCCAGCAACCCCATGGACTGCATCCTACCAGGCCCCTCTGTCCATGGGATTTTCCAGGCAAGAGTACTGGAGTGGGGTGCCATTGCCTTCTCCGGGGGGTGAGGGTAGCTGGGTAAAAACAGCAGAAAACGACTACAACATGACATTTTTCCCCACCTTATTAACCAGCAAAGAAGAACCACTATTTATCTTAAGATAGTATCACTTCTTTTTGCTAACGACTGTTTCCTAAGGTAACAATGAAGCAGAGAGAAAAGGAGTAGGACAGATATTCTGAATTCACTGAGTCTTCAATTTTCTTCCAACAACCTACCTTGGAGGTTCTCAGCTGGGGTAATTTGTCTCCCAGGCACATTTGGCAATGCTGGAGACATTTTGCCCTAGTAAGTAGAGAGATGCTAGAGGGTGAAGCTCAGGGATCCGCTACTAAACATCATATAATACACAGCACCCCAAAACAAAGAATTATTTGCCCTCAAATGTCAATGATGCTGAGGCTGAGAAGCCAAGGCATGGATGGATATTAAAAAATTTAAAAATCAGTAAGTCTAGAGTATAAAAGTGTTTAGAACCACTTCAAGAAAGACTGTACAGTAAGATTCTCCTCCTTGACAAGCTAGCTACAGCTCTCCTATGGATCTAGTAGATCCATAGTGAGGAAATAAAACATGCTGAGAAATATTAACACAGAAATAGTTTTAACTTCAATTATCAGCATACACATGAAAAATAAACTAGAAAGATAGGACAATATTTTTGCTCAATTGATTTTGATAATCAACAGTTTCTACAACCACAGAAACCAATATGGTCATGTTTGTGATTTAGATCAAATCTGACAAAAAATTAAATAAACTCCGTTCCTAAGAAAAAAGCCAGGAATACTAAAAATAAAAGATTGCCTTCTAAACTAACAGAAGAAAAGATTTAGTGATTTTTGAGGAGATGCTAAACTCCAGTCAAAGATATTCAAATTTTCCTGTACCTATTATTAAAATATATTTCTCCTTTATTTTGTGATTTTATGATAAGAAAGAATAATGTGGAAAATGAATAAACTAACACTTAGGTGTTAATAATATTACAATGCATTATATCCTAATACAAAGGGAATGATTTCCTATGGAAATCATACCCTCTGAGAAGCAGTTAATAAGGAATAGCAGAACAACAGAGCAGCTTTCAAATGACTTCTATAAGAAAGCTTATAATTGGTCACTAAGTTTGTAAAAAAAAAAAAAAAGGATGTGAGAAACTGAAAGAATGAAAATATTATCTACATAAGGGAGCTGATTTATTATTGTAAACAAAACACCTTCGTTTAACAAAAATATTTCCAAATCCAATATCTGTGATCTTATCTGTCTCTGACTCTATTTTGGGCTTCCCTGGTGGCTCAGCTGCAAAAGAATCCTCCTACGATGCAGGACACCTAGGTTTGATCCCTGAGTTGGGAAGTTTCCCTGGAGAAGGGAAAAGCTACCCACTGCAGCATTCTGGCCTGGAGAATTCCATGGACTGGATAGTCCATGGAGTTGCAAAGAGTCGGACACGACTGAGCGACTTTCACTTCACTATCTGTCTCTGAGATGGACATATGTGATAGCAACAGCAAAACTCTCTAAGAAAGTCACTTCATTACCATATGGAAAATAAACAGCCAATGGGGATTTTCTGTACAATTTGGAACTCAAACTGGGGCTCTATATCAACTTAGAGGGGTGGGATGGGGAGGGAGATGGGAGGGAGGTTCAAGAGGGAGGGGACATATGTCTATGGTTGATTCATGCTGATGTCTGGCAGAAACCAACACAATTCTGTAAAGCAATTATCCTTTAATTAAAAAATAGATGAATTTAAAATTTTAAAAAGAAAGAAAAATAGAGTCACTTCTTTGATTACATTATCTAGCAGCTAGCTCTGTAACTGTAGGACTTTATGGGATAAAGTCTGCTAACAGGGAAATACATTATTGCTACAAATCTAAAAGGAACTCGGGATGGGGTGAGAAAGGAGGCAGGTCAAAGAGGAAGGGGATATATGTATATATGTATACAGACAGCTGATTCACTTCGTTGTACAGCAGAAACTAACAACATTATAAATCAATCATACGCCATTTAAAAAAAAAAAAAGAGGAACCCAGTCCACAAGTAGGAGGGACAAATAACATGAGAAGATGCCGGAAGGTGATCAACTTGTCTTAGGACGATTTTACACCTGGCCTGAAGCTTCTCACAACTCTCACCTCTCTACCTTGCTTGTATAAAGAGAGTATGACAATGGAGACCTCTCCCTAGCTCCTCCCTGTGACCTCTGGCTCAGTGTGTGAGGGGCAGTCACTAGCACAACTGCATTCCCATCCCCTGTCAGCAGGGATCTTGGTGAGATGAGTAGACTGGACTAAAATAAGACACCAACACACAAGTAAAACACCCCAATGAAGGCAATTCTTGAGTCGCCAATCAATTAGGGCACGGTCTTCAAAGGAAGCTCTGTCAACTAGGCACTTAATAAAAACAAAAGATGTTTACACTAGCATCTCAACAAATAACGAACAGGAGAAGAAAGGCAAGATTTGTATTTACTACCTGCATTTTATAAAAAATGAGATGTTATACTTCAGGCAGAAAGTTTTGAAAGAAAAGCTATCTGAGAAGTATTGGGTTGGCCAAAAAGTTCATTCAGGTTTTTCCATAAAATGTTATGGAAACTTTTGGCCAACCTAGTACTTTCTTGTTCCTTATGAATTGATAAGCTTTTTGGTTGTATTAACTAAAATTATTTTTTTCAGAGTTTCGCAATATATAAAAAAAGCTCAGATTTTAGTTAAACAAGGGAAAATTAAGGCAGTTCCTTTAAGCTCAATAAAGGAAACAACTGGCCATCAAGTAAGCCTATCTGAGAGAGACATACTGAGTTAACACTGGATACAACATTGAACAATTATGGCTTTCAACAAAAAATATTGATGTTTCAAAATTCCGTTTCCTCAGTCATTTTCTTTCTTTCTATCTATATGGACTTTGAGTAGCTCACTCAATTTTAAAGAATTAAGGGAACACTTTCCACATCATTTTGGAACAAACCTGGAATCATGAACTCAGACAATAAAAAATTACTTTCATTGTAATTAAAAGGAGGCCCAGTGTAAAAATGATGAGGGCCCGTGAGAGTCAAAACATAGTTGGAAATGGCTAATGTCCTTTGGAATTTGGTACAAAACGAAGATTTAGAAATTCTGAGGTATTGTTGCCTTACAATCTCTCACCAAGGTTTAGATTTTTTTTTTTAATGGATATTTTGTTTTGTTTTACAAAAAGCAGGGCTTTTTCTCTAGGGTTGCAAAGCTCAGTTTAAGCCTCCTCTCGGTCACGGTTGGTCTCATTGTTATTCCTGAGTTTTGGCTCAGCTGCACATCACGACGATCAGCCCTCCAAGGTTTCAGTCATTTCACCAGTGTTACGTCTTATACCAATTCATGGAGCGTTTCACGGCTTTGACCCAGTTCCCCATATTCATTTCATATTCTTGCCATTTCTTCTGGGGCTTGAAAACCATTTCACTTTGCCTCAGTTTCTTTAGCTCTTCCTTGTCACTCCAAAACCCTATAGATGAAAAAATTTATTCTCAAGTTTGAAGGTAAATAATGAGCCCAAAAGTTTACCTACAAACCTATGTGAACTGGTGCAAAGGTAAACAGTCACTACTTTAAAACACAATTCAAAATTTTTGTTGCTTTGAACTTTGTTAGACTGACTATCCCTGGGAATAATATACACTAGGATTTAACAAAAATCTTTTGGTTTCTAACTAGCAGAGTAATTTCTGTATAGAAAGGCACCAAATCATTTCTAGAACAACCATATTTTGCCATCATTTAATTTCATGACTAGCTATTAAGAAAGAAAAAAAAAACCCAAGTAAGAAATAGTATACTTTCTTTTTATACAATTCTTAAAAAAAGATAAATTAAGATTTTTTTTTTGGTCATGCTGCACAACTTGCACAGGAACTTAATTCCTTGACCAGGGATTGAATCCGGGCCCATGGCAATGAAAGCACTGAATACTAACCTCTCGACCACCAGGGAATTCCCTAAATTAAGATTTCTATCATATATCTTGTAAGTAAGAAGCAACTCCCTAGGATAAGCACAAAATTCAAAATTGGGAATTAATATAATAAATAGTTTCTTTTTAAAACTATCACATTTCATGCAAGGCTTTTAAATTTCAGTTCAAGGAAATCTTGTAGTTCTGGCATATGCTGTTCTTTACAAAGAGGGACATGTGATTTATAATAAAAATCAGTAAAAAAACGCATGACTATGATCATTCCTAGTCTTAAAAGGTAGGGATCTCTTGTTAATACACTTGATACATCCCACCTACTCTGAAGTATTAACATACTTGACAAGTCTCCAAAAGTATATTTTTCTTTTACCAATAAAGCTGACATATAAAATTCTTTCTTCTAACGTTTTCTGTCAGGTCACATTCTTCCTATTTACAAAGTCAGCATTTTAGATTGTATTTAAAGATATTAATTTATAGACATTATTAAAAGACTAGAAATAGTTTTTATTAGTATACTACACAATTGGATAAATCTAGTCATGAAAATAAATATGTGCTTAAAATTCTTATTTTCAGAATTTATTATTTACACTTAAAGGCATATAAATTTTTATGAGTTATTTTATTAAATATGTATTGGAACACACCCAGTTTCTGGGTGAATTTTGAAAATACAGAGAATCTACATAGCCTTCATGTCTCAATTTTCTGAGAGAGAAATAATCCAATCAGAAATTTCAGATTTTCTAGGACTTATCTGGTGGTCCAGTGGCTAACACTCTGCCCTCCCAATGCAGTGGGCCTGCATTCGATCCCTGCTCAGGGAACTAGATCCTGTATGCAGCAACTAAGAGTTCACATGCCACAATTAAGACCTGACACAGCCAAATAAATATAAAATAATCATTATTTTAAAAAAAGAAAAGAAGAAATTTCAGATTTTCCAAGAAGGTAAAACTGCTCCCTATAGCTAGTAAAGTATCTTTGTTTTGAAATTAAATACAGATGAAGTAAATACAATCCAAGCCACTATGTTATGTGTGAAAATAATTTGCCTGTGTTTTTTATTTAGTAGTGTGTGCTCAGTCGTGTCCAACTCTTTGCTATACCACAGATTGTAGCCTGCTTCAAGAGAATCTGACATACTTAGTTTCATATGGTGATAAGTATAGAACAATTTGATTAACCTTATAAACAATATTGGAATGCTTATGAGCATTTGACTTACTGTAATGATAAGCTTAATTTATCCAATTTTCAAGAGTTGTTCACATACTTAGAACATTTGTCTTATTATAGTTCTAAGTTTGCTCAGTTAGGCATGTGAAATTATTAAAAGCAACATCAACTATATTAAACTTAAGAGTTGAAACATACAGAGGAACTTAAATTTTTGAATGAGAATGACAATTTAAGGGAAAGTTATTTTCTTCAACTTGAATTAGTCAAACATCAAAGAACAAATGAAAGTGACTGTTTCTATTTTATTCCAAGATAATAGATTTTTAGTAGAATAAAGATTAAGATGAACTTAATTTGATTTGATGCTTTTTGGGTCCATAACTTTAATTAATAAATAGCCTAAACTTTTAAGTGTAAGATATCTTGTTTTGTACAAACACTCTTCTCTTCCATATAGGAACACACGAAAAAACACTCCCAGAGTCTCAAGCATCATCCTGCTCTCTAGGGAACCCTCTAATTGGCCTCCCAACTAATTAGTGAAAACACTAATTGCCAAAGTAATCTGTTCAAATGTAGATCTATCCATATCCTTCTGCTTAAAATTCTTCAGTGGCTCGCCTATGCATTCAAGACCAATTCCAAACTCCTCTTTGTGAAGAGGCACCATGCCCGGACGTATCTATACCTCTCCAGTGTCCCTCTGGCTCTCATTCTATCAGCACCAGGATGGGCCAGGACCTCTGCACCAACTGCCTTCACTGCTGGACCTCTCACCCTCTGTTCTCTCCTCACCTGGCTGTCTGCTAACCCCTTCAAAACCGAACTATACATTGTCTCCTCTGGGAAGACCTACACCTATTGCCTCATACTGCGGCTGTTCACTGGGTTTTATCACATAATAATGGGTTGGCTTGCCTCAGTGCTCCCAATGGAGACTCCCATAACTGGGACTGTGTAATTTAAACTTTAGTCCCAGCAGTGACTGTGGTAGCAGGAGCTAGACAAATGTTCAACAAGTAGAAGAATAAAGTGGTTTCTAAGATGGCTTCCCTGGTGGCTCAGTGGTAAAGAACCTGCCTGCTAATGCAGGAGACACAAGTTTAATCCTTGCGTCAGGAAGACCCCCTTGAGAAGGAAACTGCAACCCACTCCAGTATTCTTGCTGGGGAAATTCCATGGATAGAGGAGCTGGCAGGCTACAGTCCATGGGGTTGCAAAAGAGTCGGATAGGACTTAGCAGCTAAACATTATCTAATCAGAAAGTTTACCCAGAGAGACTCCCATGCTAAAGACCAGAGCAGCTGAGAGTTAATTTTCCTGGCCTCATACTTCTCACTGAGAGCAGCAAGAACGGAAGAGGTGCAGCTAGACCCCCCAAAGAAGAGTATGGGTCATAGGAGTATTTTATGAGTGAAGGGCATGCATGTATGGAGTATATGGCTGCCAAGGCTTTCCAGATCTTTGGTGTAATTTTGTGCTTTGAGAGAAGAAATGCTATCTGCAAGAACTGGTTTTGCAAGACAGTTCTCATTTTCATAAAACCCACACATACCAACAGCAAGGCCAGCTAGAGAAGCTGCGCCTAAGCATGACATATCAACGTGGACGGGTCTGTCTATAGTCTCATTAATCAGGTCTGAAGTCATCTGCATAACAAAACTGTTCTTACAAACTCCTCCATCTGCCCTGTGGGGAGCAAGATATTGGAGATAAATTACTGTAACAAAAGCACAAAAACATTATTCTTTTTAAAAAATATCCACACATTTTTGTTTAGATCCTTAATTTTAAAGTTTAACTTTTTAATTCCAAATTTATATCACTTAGCATTGACCTGAAGATCACAATTTTAAAACATTTTCCTTGTCCCTGCCATCAGTTTTCCCACCTGCCCGGCTTGACCTGGGACTAGTGGCCAAGTGAATTAAGCTAACATAAAAATTCATTTGGACACTCTGGCAAAAAATACATGAAGCTTCCATGATAAAAGGATACCCACACACTCAAAAAAGAAACATTAAAGATTTTTATAATATACATCTAGGGGCTAAGAGCCTCTCAAATTCCATATTGGTCTATATTTTTCTTAAATCCAAAATTAGCTTTCCATCCTCTCCAATTCCTATGACCAAGAATTTCATTGCAAAGAAGGTAAGCATAAGTTCTTTTTGAAATCCTGAATAACCATAATGATGAAAATACCAATAGCAGCTAGCACTGATTTCTAATTTCTAATGAAATCTCTTAGAAACAAAGTGTACATACCGAATTTTTCTTACAGGAATATGGATCTCTTTCTGCATCATCTCATATAACTGTTTGTTTCTAGTTAAAAAACAAAGAAACTACTTAGAGGCAATTCATATCATAATAATTTTCTATTTTTTCCAATCTAGAATAGTAAAAAAATGTGGTTTTATTTACATGATATTTATAAAATATGCAAAAGAAAACATTATATTACGCTAACTAGACATCAAGAACTGATGCTCAAATAAGCAAGAGATTCAGGGCCTTCTGTTTTTCACTCTGATACAAGAGAACATACTTTTTCTTTCAGAACTGAATTTAATCTATTACCATTCTTGCAAATACAAATGTAAAGCAAGTATCCATTTAATAGGTATGGATGACACACCATAAATGGCCTTTTTTAAAAATCACAAAATATAAAAAATAATGATTTTATAATCAGAGAAAATGTAAACATTACAAGTGTTCCATTAGCTCCATTCAAGACAGTTGCATTCTTAATTTTAATAAGCTATACCTGACCCATAACAAAAAGACCAAAGGGAATGTACAGAAAGAATAATCTTGGTGAGTCAATCTTTGAGTATCACAGCAGCATTATTAGTTAGAATTCTCCTTCATGAATGAGAAAACAAAAACTTTTCAAAGTCCAAATTTTGAATTTTTTATTCATAATAAATTGTATTTTTAAAAATCGTTTAATTTTCAGATATCAAATCTAAAGTGGTACTGGTACTATTAATTGTGGGAAAAAAGAGATGCAAAAAAATAGCAAATAGCAATAAGAACAGTTTATATCATATAGTATGAACTAAGAGTCTCATGCTCTAATGACTGAGCTAGCTGGGCCATATACAGTATGAATGAAAACTAAAGGTATAGAGTTAAAATTAAGAAAAAAATTTAATTTAGTTTAGTAGAAATTAATAAAAGGAAATAGCAATACTGTGTAAGGAGGGGGTAGTTTAGGGCAGGTTCTGATACCTGAAAGCTATAGACTCCAATATTGCTCGAACAAGGTGGTATTTATTGGTGGAAGGCTTCAAACCCATAAAAGAGGCACACGCACAGGGGTCATTTAATGGAGCCTAAAGTAAGAGACAATAAAAATATATAATTATTGCTCTAAATTATATCTATAGACTTGAAAGCATATTATAGTAAAACAATAAAAATTAGCCATTTTAGGAAAAAAAGAATGCTTAGAGACAGTTTTAACATAAATGACAGCCCCCAAATTATGCCAATTATTCAAATAACTTTTTGATAGGACTTAAGCAAGGTTGAGTCACAGATATTAGATTTGTGAGTCAGATCTTCTGTTTGTGCCTGTACAAAGAAAAGGGTTTGAAGTCCAGAGTAATAAATTATGAAATGCTTAGCTAGATACATGAGGAAAATGAAAAGCAATGCTAGTATATCCCCTTTTCTCCAACTGCAAAGTGTTTACACTGAAATTGTCTACTAAGTAGAAAGGCTTTTTGAAGATACTAAGTTAAGACTTCAAGAAAACTACAAGGCAAAAAATGTGTTTTTCAGTGTCATAATTTATATCCAATATAGTGTCAGGCTTTCAAACTAAACTCTATTTGTTAGTTTACATAGTATTATTGACTAACATCAGAAATTACTCAACCTAGCATGTGCCTTGAAAAGGCCATAATCTTAAGCTGGAATTATGCATTCATCAGATGAAGTTTGTATTCATCTTTTCATCGCCAGAAATGTAAGATGATTTTGAGACAGGAAACTGAACCAGAAAGTTCTCAGTCGGAGCGTGCCATCTCTGAAGGAAACAGGCAGAACAGTCCCAACACACCTATGCAAGGCCATGACGGAGGGACAGGCTGAGGCTGTCAGGAGATAATGGTGCCCAGAAGCACCTTCTAACTTCAGGGCCTGACACACCTTCACCTGGAAAACTTTCTACCACACCTTCTACTGGTTAATCCTACTCCGCTTCCATAATTTGGCTCAGCTTTCTCTGGGCTCTGGGAAAACTTCTCATCTCAGAGACTAGATCAGGTCCCCCACTATCCATTTTTTATGGGATCCTGTAACTCCTCATCATATCACGTGCCACAGTTTATCATCACAGTTTGTTGAAACTGCATCTTCCCCGCTACACTGTTAGCATCACAGGCAGAAACTCATCTGATGTGTTCACATGTATCTCTGGGGCCTGGCACTGCACCTGGCCCCCAACAAGGGATCAATACACATCTGCTGAATCCACGAACAAACAATACTTTTCCTAATGTCTCAATTGAAGAAATTCTGCTTTACGTCTTATCTTTACCATGACCTAGATGTTCTTCCTCCTGTGATTTTATTTTGATAATTTTCCACAATGATTAATACCTGTTGGTGATTTACACAGTAAAAGCTGACATACAGTAAAGCTGGTCTATATACCAAATGACAGAATACAGTAAAACAAAGATGGGTCAGACTCAACCAGTTCAATTAGTCCCTAGTAGTATGCTAGGGCTTTCTTGGTTCAGATGGTAAAAAATCTGCCTTCAATGTGGGAGACCTGGGTTCAATCCCCGGGTTGGGAAGACCCCCTAGAGGAGGACATGGCAACCCACTCCAGTATTCTTGCCTGCAGAATCCCCATGGACAGAAGAGCCTGGTGGGCTACAGTCCATGGGGTCGCAAAGAGTTGGACATGACTGAGCGACCAAAAGTACAGCACAGTATGCTATTTTTTTGTTTTTATTTTTTGGGCACACCACGTAGCTTGTGGGATTTCAGCTCCTCCACCAGGGATTGAACTACCCCCTGACAGTGAAATTTCCCTGGACTGTCAGGGAATTCCTTTGCTATGGCTTTTTTCCTGCATAAAAATGACTTCTTCCAATATACCACAAAAAATCTTGATAGAACTGGCTTGAAATCACTTTTGTACAAATAGCTATGAACATATTTTACCATTAGTAATAAGCCAACTTGAGGGGTTATAAATTCCATAGAAACCTAAAAATTTCCTTATAGGTTACAACATCCCTGCATTTGTTAATCCAAGTAAATCTCTCTTTGGGAGGATAAAACAGGAAAAACAATGTCCTTTTAAAAGGCCTGGTCACATCTTGCCAGGGCAGACAGCCTCCAGCCACACCTTCAATCTATCACTGCCAAGCCCATCAAGGGAGCTCTCCAGAATCATCAACAGACCAGAAACAACAGGACTCAGCAAAGTTCTGTGTGGTTCCCTGAGCAAAACCAGCAGACTCCTGCCTGGGGCACAGACTACCTGCCCCAGCAGGCCCTTGTCCCCAGTGGAACTTCAGCCTAATTTCCTGGGGGCTTGCAGGATGGTTCATGCCATCATGCCTCTTACCCTTGTCAATCTAAACCATAAAAGTAAGTTCCTCTGGCTCTAGTTGTCTTAGCATTGTAAGAATATTTTATGCTACACCATGAAACAGCCTGGCAGAGTGGTTAAGAACCTGGACTTCAGAGTCCTAAAAGCTAGCTGTGTCACTCACTGGCTGTGTGAGGCTGCCAGTCTGGGGCTTGAAAAATGGCTGCTTTAGACAAGGCTTCTTGTCCAAAGAATCTCTGTCTGCCAAGTGACAGAACGGCTCCAAACCTCAGTTTCCTCAGTTTCAGAATGGAATGATGCAAGTATTTTCTACCTTATTGAGTTACTGAGCATTAAATAAGACATCACATGTGAAGAATTTATGACAGTGCCCGAGACACAGTACATATTCACAGGTTAGCTGCCACTACAATTTTTAGTTTAAGATTTTTATGAGGACCATTTTTAAAGTCTTTATTGATGTGTTACAATATTGCTTCTAATATTTATGTCTTGGTTTTTTTCTGGCCAGTGGGCATGTAGCATCTTAGTTCCCTGATCAGGGTTCAAACCCACACAGTCTGCACAGGAAGGTGAAGTCCAAATCCCTGGAGCACCAGGGAAGTCCTCTCACAATCTGAATTTTAGTTGTCATTTCTCATTCAAACCCTTCCCACTACTACTCAATTTCTTCATAACTCTTTCACTATGCTTTCTCAAGATTTCCTTCCATTGTAAATCAACTCCCCTAACCCTTAAGTAACTCTGAGATGTGTCTTCCACTGATTTTGTGGTTGGTTGCTCTAACAAGCCTGGCTCTGGGCTAGACAAATGGCATCCAGTGGCAGGTCCTCAGGCTTCAACACTCCAGGACCAAGAGGACACTGTTCTAGTCTCCCATGGCCACCATCGGCCACTGTACCTCTGCTGTCAGGGTTTGCTAAGGTCTGTATCAGCATCATGCTTTATCTCCCTTTACCTTTCCGTGGCTCAGACATCCCAGTCATTACAGAACTAGAGGGGGAGTTCACAGCCTCTGCTGGCCACAGGGAGAGGAGGTCTCAGCAAACCACCTGAATCCTTGTCTAAAGCAGCCGTGTTTCAAGCCCCAATCCCACTGCTGGCACCACAACTGCAGGGCATGAACACAACTGACTCAACGTCTACCAAGGCTTGAAAACACAAGGTAGCCCAATCAGAGTCCTCCCCTGGAAATGTGCGTGAGGAAACTCTTCAGAGGAAGCTGATGGGGAAAGGATGCACAAGGCGGAAGAAGGCTGTATTTATTTCCAAACTGTGAAAAGGCAGAAAGTTGAAGGATATGAATGACAATAAGCAGAAGCTATGAGGAAGAAAGGATACAGAGCAAAGCTGGTAAGGAGAAGAAAAAAGCAGAACCAGAGAGAGGCAGAAACCACAGAGAAGAACACTGAGAATTACCAAGTTAGCTGCTAACTAATGGAGATCCATTCCCAATGCTCAGGAGTATGTGGATAGACAGCTCCTCTTGGGGGAGTGGAGGTAAGCAAGCCGGTTCCTTGCAAATCTAAGAACCCTCATTGGAGCATGCCTACTCATCTGCTGAAGACTGGCACTTAGCTCAAGGTCCTGCCCACCCTGCTATGTACGGCCAATGTCACAGTAACTTCAGCATCAAGTAGACGATGACTGATGCTTGCCTCTGATACCTGTGAGGGGTGCTCTAGTTTAGCATGCACCTCCCTAGACAAAGCCACAGTGGCTGCACCAATCGATGCCACCCAGTGTACAACCCCAAGCTCTAGCCTCTCTGGCCCATTCCCTACTGTGGCTGTCCCACAAGTTCATCTGTCTGCGAAGTTCCTCCAATGCCCCTTTCTCAGCTGACACCCCTGAGGTTATTAGGAGCCTTTAATATCCTGCCTTCCACTATCTGCAGCTGTAACAGTTTTCTAAAATCAAAGGCAGTATCACAGATACATAACCCTTCCTTCCTTCCATTCTCCTAGCCCACATTTTCTCTAGTTGTTGATGCTGGCAGCTTATAAGTCATCTCCCCACTATTTTCTGAACAGCTTAGTATCAACACACTATTGTTGCTTGAATTAACTTTCAGTTTCCAATTGAGAGTTTCATTTTACATTAGGAAATAACTGTCCTGTGGTCCTCCCCCACCCCACCTCAGCACGTGGCCAGGTTACACGCATGGCAGGACAGGGATACTCTGTGAGTAACACAAAATTAAAACCCATATGAGTGATAGTGTCATCTAATCTTTAGGACTCTAGCATTACCTTGGGGTTTTAAATTATATATTTCATATTATTTTTACAGGGATATGAGTTGGTAGAGAAGTTAAAGACAGAGCTACCAAGACAGAGTCACAGCGAGGTCCCACAGCACGTTTTTCAAAAAGGGAAGGATCCACAGTCAACTAATTAAACCCTCCCTTAGAGAAGGCAATGGCAACCCACTCCAGTACTCTTGCCTGGAAAATCCCATGGATGGAGGAGCCTGGTAGGCTGCAGTCCATGGGGTTGCTACGAGTCGGACACGACTGAGCGACTTCAATTTGCTGATGACAACTCTTCATCTAATCTTCCCCCTCAAACCTCAATCAGACAAATATTCTGTGTTCCCTGTCCTAGCATGGATGATCGTCAAGTGCCTCGCACTGCTCTGAAGAAGATACAATGCAATCTCTATATGTAGTCTATAACCTCTTAGTGTTTTAGGATAAAGTATACAGAAGGAAATTATCAGAGATATTAAAATAATGCTTGTTTAAAACTATAGTTTGAAAATATGGTCTATTTTTAGGGATTTAAAACTACCCTGACCTAATTCTATCTAATTCTTTTTCACGAGGTTCTACATTATATTATCCAAACTTTTATTTTGTTTTTGTTATGTTTTCTGGGCTATGATGCATGGCATCCAGGATATTAGTTTCCTAGTCAGGGATCGAACCTATGCCCCTCACACTGAAAGTGGGGAGTCTTAACCACTGGACTGCCAAGGGAGCCCCCATCCAAACTTTTAAATTTGGGGTTTCTTATAACTGATTGCTTGAGTATAGAATAGACTAGAAGGAGAAGAAATTTTTATTTTTAGAAAGAGGAAATATTTAGTGGAGAGATTTTGAGGAGTATTAACAGAACTAACTCCACCTCCCCACCCCCAAAAGGAATTTTGTTTATATAATACTACACCTGGAAACAGTTTTTAAAAGTCTTTGTAACAATATGCTAAAATTAGAGAGAGTATCACAGATCTTTCAGTTAAATACAAAATCAAATATTATAAAATCAAGCCTTTTACTGAGTTCACTTTTCAGTTAGGCAAAGTAAACATCATCCCACACTACAATTAACCAAAAGAAATTCTGATTTTTTTTTTTTAAAGTTAATGAAACTTATAAACAACAAAATATTGGTTGAAATATTGGTTGAAACTTATAAACAACAAAAATATTGGTGTAGTATATACCTTAATATTACTTTTCTAATTCTCAGTGGTAAACCTCATCTAAGTAAAGAATGCCAATTTACTGATCTATTTTCCCTCACTGAGAAACGGCTATTTTTAGTCATGATAAAGTAACCATGGGTCTTATGTAAAAGTTCTATAATAAACCTGCCAACTTTTAGTTTCCACAGAGATGGAGTTCTAAGCAGAAGCCAGGAGAATTTGCTCTTCCCTCTTGTGGAATTCATGCCACATCAAAACACAACTTCTGGGATTTCCCTGATGGCCCAGTGATGTAGACTGTGCTCCCAGTGCAGGGGGCACAGGTTCAACCTTGGTTGGGCAACTAAGATCCTGCATGCAACATGGTGCAGCCAAAAATAAAAATGAAATAAAACACTGTTTAAAAAAAAACACAAAACTGTAACAAACTTAAAGCTTGATAATCATTAAAGAAAAAACACAACTTCTCAGCCCTAGAAAGTACCTTTTCCCTCTTAGTTCTATTCAGTGCTCACAGTTTCAGATAAGGGAATAGTAGTTATATAATATTAAGTGTGATTAAGAAGAGGGAAGGGGCTTCCCAGGTGGCTCAGCAATAAAGAATATGCCTGCAATGCAGGAAACACTGAAACATGAGTTCAATCCCTGGGGTGGGAAGATCCCATGGGGGAAGAAATGGCAACCCACTCCAGTATTCTTACAAAGATAATCCCATGGACTGAGGAGCCTAATGGGCTACAGTCCATGGGCTACAAAAGAGTCAGACGTGAATGAGCAACTAGACAGCAAAACAACAAGAAAAAGGAAATGTTTGTAATTGCAATTAACTTTAAAAAAAATACCTGCAATCCACTAAAAGATGGAACAAAATAAACTCCTTCAGAATCTTCCAAGCTTTTGGCCATTTTTTCAGTTTCAGCAGCATCTGTGAACAGATCTGCAAAAACAAAAACAAACAACAACCAAAAAAAAAAAAACCCTAAAACAAAATGAAGAGGTTGGGGAGGGACAAACAGAATTATACTACATGACTAGTATTCATTGCATCAACATTTATTACAAATATTATGTGAAAGGTTGCTCACTTAAAAGGGTCAACAAAAAGGCAAGCAGCTCTAGTGTTATGTGGGTTCTCCCACTGCAAAGGTTTACAGCCCATGGAAGGAGTAAGGGAAACAGAGAACCCTCATAGATGGGCTTTGTATGAGCGGGCCTTAGTTTTTTATTTAAATATATTTGGGCTGATTAAAAATCAATTCTATGTGTTTTTTGGCATTAAAAAAAAATATCCTAAAGATAACACTCATTCTAGTTTTCTGATGAAAAGGTCAGCTACTGTAACAACTAGAACAGTCAAACATATTAACCTATAACAACTAAGAGAGTCAACTGAAAAACTATTCTAATGAGTTCTATAAAGGGCTGGTAATACATACACTAAAAGTCAATCTTTATAAAACAAACAAAAATAAATCAAGATCCAATTTAGTATATTTTTTTTACTGAAGTATATAATATAGGAAGATGAACATAGGAAGACAAACAGGTTCTAAGTATAAAGCTGGAAGAATTTTCAGTGTGGATACACTCAGGAAGCCAACACCAAGATCAAGATACCAATTGCTTTTGTTCAACAACACGCTTGTGAACTTCCTTCATTTTGTTACAAGCAGCTGTACTTCACTCATTCTCATAGCTGTATCATATTCCATTCTCACCAAACACAATTCATTCAACTGTTCTACAGCTGACATATATGTAGGTAGTTTCCAGTTTTTGGCTAATATAAACAGGCCACTTTAAATACACATGTATCTTCCTTTTGGTAAGTATCTGTACATATTTCTGGTTGTCATATACCAAGGGATGGAATTGCGAGTCCTAGGATTTTCACATTTACACTAGCTTTAGCAGACATTGCCAAATCATTTTCCAAAGTGGGTTTTTTTTTTTTAAACCAATTTAAGGCTCCTGTCAGCCATATGAGAGTTCCAGTTACTCTATATTCTTACTAACAATTGATACTGTCTATGGTTTTCATTTTCACTATTAGTTGGAATTGCACAATAACTTGACTTCTTACTTCTCTGTTAGCTAACAAAATTGAAATATTTTTCACTAGCCATTCGGATACATTTGTTTGTAAAGTGACTCCTGAATAAGCATGTAAGAATGATAGCATAGATCATGTGAAAAGGATCAACACTTGGTCATAATAAATATTGTTTGCCTTACACTGTAAAAATGAAAAATTTATTAAAGACAAGAGGATTATGGAACATTTATGATAAAACTACAATGCAGGAGATGCCAGAGATGCGAGTTCAATCCCTGGGTTGAGAAGATCCCCTGGAGAAGGAAATGGCAACCCACTCCAGTATTTTTGACTAGGAAAACCCATGCACAGAGGACCCCAGTGGGCTATGGTCCTTGGGGCCGCAAAGAGTCGGACATGACTGAGCATTCATGCATGTGTGATAAAACTAACATTAATATGGATTGCTCAATAATTATTGCAAATTTTACTCAAAATGATAGTTATTTAAATCCATAAATCCATATTACATTCATTTGTTCAAAACGTCCAGATAACACTTCAAAAACTAATATATTAAGAAAATACTGCTCTTAAAATCTATATATTTAAGAAATCATGTCCAAATGTCTAACTTTTAAAATTAAGATGTAGAAACTATACTAAATGGCAGGTTTGAGGAAAGATTCTGGTAACAGACAAGGAAACAGGGGGAAAAAAATCTAGTTTGTTCACATTCTTTACTGGTTATTCTGTTCTTGCTTGAGGAATTTCTCTAAATAATCTTCTACTTAAACTGTTCTCATATGAGCTTCTTGACAGCAAGTCTTTAGGAGTAAACAGACTTCACTCAATCTCTCCTACTGAATGCAACAAAGAAGCCTGGATGGAATCCTGGATGGATTACAGCAGAGCTATCTAAGGACGCAAAAGAATAAGCAGGCAGTCCAACCAGGGAACTGTCACTACCACCAAACCGGCAGTGAATTTCCTCTTCTTTATTTTCTCTGATATCTCCTGTCCTAGAACCAGGGACAGCGTGAAACCTGAAACTTGGGTCTGCACACTGGGAGTAATCATGAAGAGCTTCTGAGGAAGCCCTTTCTTTCTGATTTGAGGAGAAGGAGGAGTCAGGGGTCTCCTACAGAACAGAGAGTGGGGAAATAATCCCCTTGTTCTTGATTTTTGAATGATTTTTCATTCTACCTGAAAAAGAGAGAAAAAACATTGTATTTTCATGTTTTTGCAAAAAAAAAAAAGAGGAGAGATAAACCAAAAACCAATGAAGTGACTCTCTACAAGGGGAAGGAAGACAAGATGAAGGGATAGGAGAGGGAAGTCAATTGTTCCTTTTACGAATTTTACTTAGAAATCATATTAAAATTCCACACTAAAAAAAAGGTGCTCAAAAAGGATGCAGCAGGGAAAACTAAAAATGAATGATGACAAAAACAAATAAACCCAATTCTTTTCAAGTTAATAAACTCAGTGAAGGGAGAAGAAAAAGAATTAATCTAAGTAAATTTGAATAGCATGGTTTGACCATATACGCTTACTATAAAGAAAAAAAAAACTCTGCAAACAATCTTGAATGCTGTTTGTTGCAGTGGTATAGGTCTAGTAATTCAAATTCTTTGGTGTATATTTAAAGATTGAGCAAATGACTGAGCAAATAATATTGTGTTTGGGGCTAGGGTTCTCAGTGTGGAAAAAGGGAGATAAAAATATAAAACAGGGACCCTTCTCTCGTACACACACACACATTTCTACATTTCTAGCTCTAGTCATTGTTCTTATATATTTAAAAATTTTTTTTAATTTATGAAATTGTATATTTATTTATTTTGGGGGACTGCACCCCATGGCACGAGGGATCTTAGTTTCCCAACCATGGATTGAACCAGGTCCCCCCAGTAAAAGTGTGTTCTAACCACCGGACCACTAGAGAATTCCCTCCGTCATTGGTTTTAAATACCATTTCCCCCTAAAAGGAGGCAGGGCTCACTGGAAAACTTGATGGCAGATACGAAAAACACAAGATAAATTTATCATGTTGTGCCAGAAATTAAGCAAATGCTAAAAAAAAAAAGAATACAGATACGGAGAAGGCAATGGCGCCCCACTCCAGTACTCTTGCCTGGAAAATCCCATGGATGGAGGAGCCTGGTAGGCTGCGGTCCATGGGGTCGCTAAGAGTCGGATGACTGAGTGACTTCATTTTCACTTTTCACTTTCATGCATTGGAGAAGGACATGGCAACCCACTCCAGTATTCTTGCCTGGAGAATCCCAGGGATGGGGGAGCATGGTGGGCTGCCGTCTATGGGGTTACACAGAGTCGGATACGACTGAAGTGACTTAGCAGCAGCAGCAGAAGTCTTGTACAACAATGAAGAAAGATACTTGTTAAATTTGGATTTTAATGCCATTACTAAAGCATAATTTTCATTAAAAAAAAAAGAAAGAATACAGATAGACATTTCTAAGCCAGTTTAAGGAGATTTTCACTGACCAAATCTGGGACTATTGAGAATTAAAACACATAAGTAAGAACTAGAAGTTATAACCTGCTGAATGAAATAAGAAACCATTAATTTATATCAATAATAACAGAGGAAATGGAGGGCTCTTCCTAATATAACAACAGAATGTTAACTAATAAACAGAATGGAAAAATGGAACCAGAAAATACCATTTTTTGAGCCATCCCAGTAAAGACTGATCCAGGTATGAAACATCAATGAAACCTGAATTTAGGGGGTGGGGGAAGTTTGGTGAAAAAAGGGATATCACCTAATTGCAAATTATCTACCAACATATTACTTATGACAAAAAATAGTAATTATACAGCAGAGAAATCAGAAAATATCTTATTCATGTGAACAAAATTAACAGAACCAAAACAGGAATAAGGAACATTCTGCATCTACAGGTATGTATTCTGAGAAAGACACATTATCACTTATTTATAATTTCAACCCAAATACATTACCTAGATCTAGACATGAAAGGGCTTTCCAGGTGGCATTAGGAGTAAAGAGTCTGCCAGCCAATGCAGGAGACATAAGAGACATGGGTTTCAGGAGACAGGGTCAGGAAGATCCCCTGGAGGAAGGCATGGCAACCCACTCCAGTATTCTTACCTGGAGAGTCCCCATGGACAAACAAGCCTGGCGGGCTACAGTCCATGGGGTCGTAGAGACATGAAAAACCCACATTGAGAGACATTCTAGAAAATAACGGATATTCTTCAAAAATATCAGTGGCATGAAAAACAAAGCAAAGCTGAGGAAACTGTCCTAGATTATAGGAACTTATAAGCAATCATGGGCTTCCCTGGTGGCTCAGACACTAAAGAATCTGCCTGCAATGCAGGGGATGCATGTTCGATCCCTGGGTCAGGAAGAGCCCCTGGGGAATGGAATGGCTACCCATTCCACTGCTCTTGCCTCGCAAATCTCATAGACAAAGGAGACTGGAGGGCTACAGTCCATGGAGTCACAAAGAATCAGACACAACTGAGTGACTAACACACACACATATCCTGGACTGGATTCTGTAGTGGAAAAAGATTGCCATGAACGACAGGATTGGGACATATGACAAAATTGGAATGTAGACTGTAAATCTGATGAAAGTACAGGACCCAATGTTAAATTTTCTGAAGTTAATAATCTCACTTGAGGGATTCTTGTTCTTAGGAAGATAATATTCCTAAGAATATTAGGAAGAAGAGAATATTAGGTAAGAGGATATTCTTGTTCTTAGGAAATAACACAGTGAAATACTACAGGAAAAGGAGTAAGATACATGCAATCTATTACCAAAGAGCTGAGAAAATTACATAGATATTTATCTATTTTATAGCATATTGGGGGTTTTGCTGGTGGCTCAGTGGTAAAAAATGTGCCTGCCAATACTGGGTATGACAATTTGATCCCTGGGTAAGAAAAGCCCCTGGAGAAGGAAATGGAAACCCACTCCATTATTCTTGCCTGGAGAATTTCAAGGACAAAGGAGTATGGAGGGCTACAGCCCATGGAGTCACAAAGAGTCAGACATGACTGAGCAACTAAACAACAACAACAAGAGCATACTGGATGGAAAGATGAATGGGTGGATAATAGACAGATATAGTAGTCATGGCAAGATGTTGAAACATGGCAAATCTGGGATAAAAGGTATATAAGAATTTTTGCACTATTTTTATAATTTTGAAATTATTTCAAAACAAAAAGTTGAAACAGTTCTCATTGTCTCTTCCTTTCCTCTCTGTCTCTCCATATACATATTTATACCCTGGGTAACTTCAGTTCAGTTCAGTTGCTCAGTCGTGTCCGACTCTTTGTGACCCCATGAATCGCAGCACGCCAGGCCTCCCTGTCTATCACCAACTCCCAGAGTTTACTCAAACTCATGCCCATCGAGTAGGTGATGCCATCCAACCATCTCATCCTCTGTGG